CATATCCCCCCTCCCCCACCCCTGCCCCTACCCCAACCCCCACATCCCATAGTAATTGTCTAGGTTATATACAATGCTTTTAGGATAATATATATTTTTTTTGATGACAAGGGAAACCCGCAGCCACTACCCTTTGGGTGCGCACAGGGTAAAACCCCCGCTCCTATGCAAAAGCTCGCAAACCACATAGGAGAGGTAACCCGCACTAGGCAAGCCCGGTGCGACGAGCTAGACCCAGAAAGCAAACCCCTTGCTTTCGCTGGCAAGGGGTTTCAAACTTGAGACCTCCAACATGGAAGTCCCAAGCCCAAACCACTGGGCCACCCCGAAGGGTATTCATGCTTATAATTATTAGTCTTGGACTAAACATATATGTTTGTATTTTTTCTCCATTTGCGATAGTTTTCATTTAAGCCCACACTTTATTTGCGTGTAAAGCCCTAATGGACCTTAGAGCTTGTTTGCACTTTTGATAACACCGATATCATTGGGTCAACATCACAGTTGAATGACCAATGAGCTCAAGAAGTCTATCATGGCCTCTATATCAATTTGCAATAGCCATGTTATACAAGAAAAACAGTAAGTCGATGCATTTGTACTTAATAATTATTACATATTCAAACTTCTTCTCAAAAATTCATGCATTCATTTTTTTCCAAATAGTCTACCATAATTTAGACATATTTTTATAACTCTATTTTTAGATATTTGAATTATTTTTAGCCGAATCCCTGCACTTATATCCATACTTGGATCCATATTCCTGAATCTTAAAATTTAGAACATTCCAATCAACATAGTGGGGAATTAAGTAGCTTGTGGTAGGCTATCACCACTCCATTTGTTTTTTTATTGGTTCTATCTCCACTTCTTATTCAGTCGACTCACTTAATTTTTTTTCCATTCTCAGTCCAAGTAATTCTTGCTTATATATAGTTTTCCACATACAAAATCTCGGAGTAAATAACATTTTGGTTCAGAAAAAACCTCTTATATACATTATTTGGTAAGTAATGATTATCTGAGGATATTTATAATTGAGTAACCTATTCAAATTTCTATTCGCAATGTCCGCATTGATCAAATGAAGCCACCAGTTTCTCTCCCTTTTTCTTAGGGATGGAGAAATGATAGCACAAAATGTACAAAAACTACTACCATATATGAAAACATAACTTTCTAGCATAGAACTACAGGCAAATAACAAATCCGGTAAATTACTGAAGTAGGACCATAACGGAATATTTGGAGTGTAAATTCAATGATACAGTGCATGAGGCGACCGTGGAAGTGAGGTGAGCATGAAAGTGAGGCTTGATACACATGTTATCCCCAAGAGAGATAGTTTCAAGTATCTTGGATTAATAATCTAGTAAAGTAGGAACACCGACAATGATATCACACATCGTATTGGTGCGGCGTGGATGAAGTGGAGGATTGCTTGCGGAGTCTTGTGTGATAAGAAAGTACCACATAAATTTAATGGTAAGTTCTACATAGTAATGGTTAGACCGACGTGGGGTGGAGTATTGGCCAGTTTGGAACTCTCATGTTCAAAATATGCAAGTTGCGGAAATGAGGATGTTGAGATAGATGTGTAGGCACACAAGGAGAGATAATATAAAGAATGAGGATATCCGGGGAAAGGTGGGAGTGACCTTTGTGGTGGACAAGATGAGGGAAGCAAGATTGAGATGATTTGGACATGTGAATAGGAGATGCACAAATGCCTAGTGAAGAGGTGCGAGAGGTTGGATATAATGGGTACGAGGTGTAGGCTGAGAAAGTATTGGAGAGAGGTAATTAGATAGGACATGCCGCAACTCCAGATTACGGAGGACATAGCCTTAGATAGAAGGATATGGAGGTCGCGTATTAGGGTAGAAGGTAGTAGGTAAGGAGTGTTGTCTTGAATTTCAAGGGGTTCAGTCGTATTTTTATAATGTCTTGCTTTAGATTCCACTATCACTTGTTGTTGATTGTGTTTAGGTTATCGCATAATTCTATGGTTATTATTGTTCCCTTATTAGTTGTTTTGTTTCTCCATTGTTGTTTCCCTTTTTTATGCCTATTTTGATATGTTGTACTCGAGGTGAGGGTCTTCCGAAAACGGCCTCTTCTCCACAAGGTAGGGGTATGCTCTGCGTACACTTTACCTTCCCCAAACCCCACTTGTGGGATTTCACTAGCTAGGTTGTTGTTGTTATCCTCGTAATCCATAAATAGTGTTGCTTTCCTTACTTTCTCCTCATCATTCAGAGGTCTTTTCTCAAGTATAATTTGGACTATTTGACCCTCAAGCTTCAAATAGTGTCTCTCCCATACACTCTAAACTAATCCTATATTTGGTGGATGATTAATTCTAAGAATTTCAAAAGACAAATAGGAATATTTCCTTTCTAGACAAAAAATTGTGATCATATATTTCATAAAAAATTTAGCATAAACCGACCTCTTCCTCAGAAAGAGAAAGAGACAGAGGAAATCAAGGTAGCTAAGAGAAGAAAGAAGCAGACATCACATTTTCCCAAGGCTCACCAAAGGAATCGAAAATGGAAAAAGGTTCTTATATTATTGTGGCATTCAGATATAAAAACTGCAAGTGGTTCACAAGCACAAAAAGATGATGGAGGTTCAGACTATGGTACATGAGTGCATTCAAAAGCATATTTTGCATGATGTAAATAAATACAACAGCTTTATTGGATGGTTCAAGTCTCCTCACTCCTGGAAACACAAATATAAGACAGAAAAAACGATAAACCGTGCCTGCCATAAAACAATAAACCAATGAGTATTACAAGTTAATTATTGGGAATGTCAATTGCACCAAAGATTATCTACAAAAATTTGTCAATCACTGACTACATTGCTCAGATTTCAGGAAAGCACCTGGCATATTTGAGACAAAACCTCCTCGGTCCTCAATGCTGCTTCGTTCTGTATTTGGCTCATGATCTATTGTCATCTGAATAGCTTGACCACCCCGAGAAAGAACAGCTCGTGAATCTCCCACATTAGCTACCCACAATCTTTGGCCATTTATCAGTACAGCAGTGACAGCAGTGGACCCACCTCGGCCCAAAGTAGAACTATTTGAAAGTATTTTCTGGTCAGTTTTTTCATAGGCTTTTGTGATTGCCCGTCGTGGATCTACCCAAAACTCCTCCTAGTAAAATCAGACCCGGAGATGAGATGCCAACTACTCAAAGTTTTCCACTACATCATATATTTCAAACAGCAATTGGAAATTCAGGATGCATAGAAAACTTACCTCCTCTATGATATTGGCAAACAGATGTTTCTGCAGATAAGAAGGAACCTCATCCCCCATATGACCATCATAAATAGCAAACAAGCCAAGCTCGTGTTCTTCAATACGTACAAATTTTGCGACATGGTAATCTTCCATCACATGATCAGCTTTCCCCTTCACTAGGCTAAAACCATACTTAATATTACCCCCGTGGCTTCTTCCTTTAGAGCTAGAAGAAGACTCTCCAACTACGCACTGAGTATTAAAGTAAAAGAAAAATTGAAAGAAGTAAATCCACTAAGGTATTAAGAATAATGAAGATTGAATAAGAAGAGCAAGAATATAACCTAGAAAAGACGAGACATGAAATAATCAACTTCTAAGTGGAGCATATTCAACCCATTTTTTTTAAAGTTGGTCCCAATTAACCAAGGATGCATCAGCCATTCACACATCATTTTGATGCAACTAACAGCATATAGTTCAATTTTCCATCAGAAGTTCCATGAAATGCAAGTTAAGACAAAACCTTAGGCTATCTTCTTCTTCTTCTTTTTTCTCTTAACAAGAAACATATGCAAAACTTCAGTCATTGCACTTAGAAATCTAGTAACTAGATATCCTAAAGTAAATATAACGACGGTCAACTTTACCTTAGTAGTCAATTACAATTGCATTCATAGAGGAAAAGAAAAAGTACTCTAATTCATTTGCAACATCTACTGAGTGTTGCTTATGAGTTCTGCAGAATCTCAATCACACTCAAAGCTCACTTCTTTTTTTATCATTACTGTAAATGAACTCATAACACCACCATAAAAATCATCAAATAAACATGAACAATCAAAATTAAACAAAAGCACATTTTTACCTGTCCACCAAAACAGCCCAATTTCACCATCCTAAATAATCTGCCACAAAAGTAAAAACACATCAACCAAATTTTCAAGAAACAACCATAAACTCATGAAAATGACACCATAAAACTCTACAACTCAATCATTCATCACAACCATAAACCAAAAAAAGGGTAAAAACATATACTTTGAGGGTATTCAAGAACTCAATCAAACTTACCAATTTTAAACTCAAACAAATGATGGGTTAATTGGGTGCTTGCATAACCAAGAACTCCCCTTTTCTTCTTCTTTTTTTTCTTATGTGCTTTTGCCGAACCAACAATGACGGTGAACAGCAAGGAAGCTAAGCTTAACACTCAAAAACCCCTTTGGCTTTACAATCAAAAGATAAAGAAAAAAAAAACTCTTTTTTTTTTCTCCTCTTTTTACGTTACGAAATTTTGTTAACCTTTTGTGAATCTTGTTCTTTTCTTCTCAACCGTCTTCAGGACAAAATTCAAAGAGAGGAGTTTTTGGCTGTTTACAGAGAAAGTATGGAGGGGCAAAATTGGAATATTAAAAAATAAAATGTTGACTTCTCTGTTTTGAACATTTCAATGTTTATTTTATGTTATTTTATTTTTGCTAAAGCGTTACGGTTTCATATACGACCAAATATTGAAGATGTGTTGTTACATCTCTCTCGAAATAAGTGTAATTTAGCAAAATAAAGTTATTTTAAAATAATTATTTTTTATTTAAATTTATTTATTTTTAAAAATTTCGTGTTAAGTTAAAATTAGAAAACAAATTAAAATAGATCATTTTAGGAAATTCAACATAATTATGTTAAATTGTTTTCAACTATATCCTATATTCTCTCTTTATTCTATAATAAGTAAATTTTTAAGACTTTTTTTATTGTTCAAAATAATTGAATTGTTTAAAGTTTAAGATGGATGTTTGAGATTTTTTCTATATTTGTCTTTTCATTTATTGAAATCTTATATTTTCTAGGAGATAAATTACACTACTTACAAAATTATATTTAAGATTTTATAAAAGACAATAGTGGAAAAATTATGTTCTTGAATGCTTTTCTTAATGTGTATATTGCCTCACAAATTCAAGCAATGCACAAATATAAGAAAGATATTTAAGGACATTCTTTAAACCATAATCTTTACATAGTATTGGTTTTTGTGAAATCATAAATATAACTTTATAAGTAGTGTAATTTATCTTCTAGAAAATATGAAACTTTAATAAATGAAATGGCAAATCTGGAGAAAAAAAAATCAAATATTCATCTTGAACTTTGAACAATTCAATTATTCCCCTGTCCACTTTTAATTGTCACAATTTCCTTTTTTAGAGTCAAACGATAAGGACTTTGACTAACGTTTTATGATGTATTTTTTTTATCATATTGATATGCAAAAAAATACAATTTATAGTACTTTTCGTATAGTTTTTTATTATCTAAATTTTTATTTAGAAAATTTGAATTAATGTAATCTAATTTCACTTGGAAAATTAGTCAAAATGACTTTCAAAAAGTGCAACATAACAATTAAAAATGGATAGAGGGAGTATTTTGAACAATAAAAAAAGCCTAAAAAATCACTTAATATGAAATAGAAGGAGTATTTATTGTTTTTTCTTAATGAATGTGAAAAAAAGTTAAAAAGACACTTATTTTGAAACGAAGAAAATACATATTTTCCTGTTCAAATTTTGAATATGAGTCACTTTTTAATAGAAACCTTCAAAATGAAATTTCTTAACATTAAACTCGAATTAATTAATCCCAAAAACAAATTGTGGGAAAACCAAAAATAAAAAAATCTACTATATGTACGACTTCAAATATATTTCTCTTTGAAGCATTCCTTACAAAATCCACAAAAATCTTGACAATTCTTGAGATCAAGTTATGCATTTTATAATAGAAATTCAGAACACAATTTTTGACCATCTACAATATGCATGCCTTTTAATATAGTATTTGCTTATAGTTAGGGGTGTACATGGCCGGGTTGGTTCGGGTTTTTCAAATATCAAACCAAACCATTTAGGTCGGATTTTTAAATTTATAAACCAAACCAAACCAATAAAACTCGGGTTTTTCAACCTCGGGTTATTTCGGGTTTTTTCGGTTTTTCGGGTTGTTTCGGGTTTTTCCGGTAAAGTATTCATACACAACATATAATTTACTTGTACTTCAAATATTTCTTTAGTCCTACCAAAATACAACTATCTAAGATGTTTCTTAAAAATATAACACAATATGATATGATTAATGACACTAAAATATCCAACAAAAATAATAATAATGAAATCGCGTAAAACAAATATTGCAAATTAACAAGTCATAATGAAAATGATCATAATTTAAAAGTACTAAATCATGCTAAAATTAAGTTTAATAAGTATTAGTTACATGACTAAATATTAAAGAAAATTAAAATTAGATTATGTATTTTAATTGTCTAAACCAATGTAAAACTAAAGAACAAATATTCAATATTATAGTCATTCTTAGTGTTGAATTGATTTTCTTTTTGCATTAGTATTAATTTGATTTTAATTTAATTTTTATTATAATTATAAACATCTATGAACTATAATCTTTATTGGACCATTCCGAATTCTAAGTTTTAAACTTGAAATAATATATTAAAAGATAAAAACTATGAAATAGTATAAGAAATATTTTAAAATTATATCAAAGTAAATATTTTTATGTATAAAATAAAATTTTAAAATTACATACATAATGTCGGGGTGGGTTGGGCTCGGGGTGGGGT